AAGTTATTACGATAATTACTAAATTTATGTTTTAGAGAAATATATATGAACAAACTAAATGGATGCAAGTGGAAAATTAATTAGTAAATTTATCTTGAACAATTATGGTCAACTGACTTACAAAATATAAGTTTTAGTATTCTCCATTCTTTCACTATAGTTATTTCTTACTAGTGTTATTGCTAATGTGCCTGATAAATAAATGTAACATTCTCTTGAAGGAGTAGGTACAAGGCTAAAGAATATATCGATCATTTGGGACATTGTAGAAAATGTCTTGAGATGTTCCCATGTTGTTTCATTCATACTTCTTGTCACTGACTGTTATAGAGGTGTTGGAAAAGTTGCTAAGTTACTTTAGTAGACTTTAATGTACTATTTTGTTTCTTACACTAGAAGATGTTGAGTGTATTTTGACATTAAAAAGAACATTTGGAATATGGTACATGTTTGATAACATTTTAGCATGCATACACTTCTGTTTATTACTCTAGGTATCATTGTTTCAATCTGTAACTTCTAAATTATATTCATATATTATGATACAATGCATTTCTACTTTTTTTTAAATGTAAATTTAAATAAATATATATATATGTGTGTGTATCAATTGTACAGTTATGTAATATATAAAAAGGGTATTTAGGAAGAAAATAGATTCTGTTTCCTTTAGGCTAACCTTGTCAGATTAAAACAACATATATATACGCTAAAAGTGTTGAGGATGTGGATGATTTATCACTATTTCTCACCAAAGGTGGAGTTAATATGATGTAGTTCCTTCAGAGTGCTGTGAACTTCATCTTACCAGTTTGCAGTGATACAAAATCCAATTACATACAGCTGCTTTAAAATCATAGGGAGTTAAGTTAGGAGCATGTATAGGGTGGATAAGTGATATCCATTGAATTTCTCAGTTTTTCAACTTTCTCAAAACCAGTACAACTTGCACATAACCTATCATGGAATCATTTAAGAAGATTAACAGCAAGTACAGTTCTTCATCTACCACAATTTACTCATTCCAGTGTATGGAAAAGAAAACCCATTTCTTTTCAAAACTTTTAAGTTAAGTTTGTTTCTTTGTTTTTGAAAGATAACAAAATTTTGTTTATTTTAACATTTAAAGGAAAGAGAATGTTATTCAAAAATATTTCCATAATTTGGTCAGGGTTTGCATAGGTTATGAAAATCCTGAAATGTCATGAAATTTTGTAAATAAACAAAGTTTTCAGTTCTAGAAACCCTGGAAAATCAAATTTATCTGGTGGTCCATGAAAGTCTAACCTAATCTCTCCTGCATCCCCTGTTATTATTGATAACAAGCTATATTAATATGTTTATCTCATTTTAGCAAAAATCACTCTAGAGAATGTTACTCATAAAATGGGAAATTGCTGATTTAGCAACACCAATCAGTAACAGGCTTTTAACTATGTACCTCCACCAGAAGGTGAACAGGTTTCATATGAACATTGTTGGAATGATATTGTTAGCATTAAAATAAGCTCAAGACTCATTTTGGGGAAATTTAAGTTCATAAAAATGTTGATAGGATAAATAATATGGGCATTTTAGAATTGTCAAAATTCCCTTTTCAATTTAAATACTTTGGAAATAATTAACAATGGTTCTAGCATACGTTCTTCATCAGTTTTTACTTAAAATTTGTTAATAAAGAGAGAGAGAAATGCAAGTTCAAATGGCAAGAGTATAATGGAATGAGTGTCATAATCCTAACTGCCATGTTTTTAATGATAAAATATTTGCCACTAAAGACAGCTAGTCAACTTGTACCAGATTAGGTTACTATAAATAATTATTTATAATGATCAATCTGGGCCAGGATATTTTATATGATATTTTGAGCCTTGTTACTAAATAACTTGGGAACAATCTTTTGTTTTAAAGGGACAGTGAGAACTGTAAATACGGTATTGTGATGTGTGTTATTAATATTTTTTTTAATGTTTGTGATCTTAATTTTTTTCTTTCAGATTTAAAACTAAAAAAAATTCTTGAAATCTGGCTTATGATTTTACTTGTAATCATCATACCCTGTATGATAAAATAAAATAATCAAGAACAATTATTGCTTTAAATATAATTTAAACTTGAAATGTATTATCACACAAGAAACTTACAGGCTGAATACAACATGAAATATAAAGATTTCCATTTTTTTGAAAAGTTTTTTGTTAGATGGAATTGCAGCATTAAACTAAAAATAAAGGGAATGGAATTGTGTGGAAAAACCAGGAGATATACAACATTGTTAATGAATTCAAAAATATGAGAGTGATCTTAGTAACAATATAAATTAGTATCTTTGCCTTAGTTTTTAAATTTGGAGATTTGTCATGATGTATGTTCATGGACCGGTCAGATACATGTTGACTTGTACTATTGGCAAATTGAAATAATATGTTCATTAAATATTATTTGGTTTGGTTACATGCTACAGGGGTTTTTAGCTCTGGTCAAAATGCAGTATATGGAGAAGGACATAAGGGTGGATCACTTGTTATTAAGCTGAATGTGAGAAAAATTAAAATATATTTTGGGGATTGTGAATGATGAAAAATTTATTGTGCATTGTACAGTAATATGGAGTCATTTAGAACTTCTGTTCAATGGAATTTTCATTGTTTATTTTTCTTCTACTTGAATAAGTGTTTTTCTTACTTCATCCAGCTTTACTGTTATTGGTAGAACATTTTGTACAGCTGTTCTGAAGTTTTTCTAAAAATATAATAAAAAATATTAGTTTAATTTTCGTGTCCACATTTCTATCAAAATCACTAAATTGCATTATTTGAAGTAGTAGTTTGTTTGTGGAAAGGTCCTAGATTTCTTTTCCCCCACTGTCCTGCTTGGTTAATTTTTTAAATTTTAAGCAAGAAAGCCAAGAGCAAATGGTGTTATAGCCAATTCCAACTATTTTGTAGTCTAGGAAGTTAAAAAAACAGATTTTTGCAAAAAATAAGAATGTTAAAACAAAGCCAACCCATAACATAAAATGTCTAATGCACTAAGTAATTTAGAAAATACCTCTCAGTTTTTAAATGGTGCTTTACAATTGTTTATAAAATATTTTTTTAAATAACAGTGATTAAATCTTTCATAATTTAATGTGCTTCAATCTGAGAAAAGGTACATTGTTACAAGACAGAAAAATGATGTATGTGTTCAACAATTAGAATCACTTAATCATTTTCAAGACTCATCTCCCTAGTTAATCCCATGTACATAAATTTATTGGCCAGTTATTTAAAGGTTGTATTTAAGCAAAGAAATTGCAAATACATATGGATGATGCTTTAGACTAGACTAGCACAGATGTAATTTTCAGTGACTTAAGGTAGCATATACCCTTTAAATGGCAAAAAATATCACAATTTATTTTTTTCATATTTTGAATCCTTAAAGGTGCAAGTTTCACAATTTGCAGGATGTGGTATACCTTTTTTTTTTTTTCACCTAGACAAAGACCCTTAAACTGACAAATTTACACCAAATTTTCAAACATGTTTTTCTCAAAATCTGAAAATTGATATTCTCATAGTGGTTTGTAACTCGTAACTTCAGATCTGTTAATGCTATAGACTTCAGAATTGGCATAAATATGCATTATTAGTGTATCTGTATTGGGTACAAAGGTAAAGTTGATAAGAGTCTTAGTTTTTATCAAAT